TGCACTTGGGGTAGTAACCTCGGCAAAATCACTTGAATTATTTCAGGATCCGGACGGTTTCCATACAAGAGCTTGAAAACGTGAATTTTTCTTAAAATAAAGCTGGAGAGGTTTTCGATTCTTTGTTGATATATACTGAAAAGTTCCGTTTCTAATTTCGCACGATCCCTTACAACAGGGAAGGCTTTTAGTAGGGCAGTCTTGAAATTTTCGTAGGTATAGGTGGGACTTCCTGCTTGACCCAAGAGACTTCTGCCGATACATTTGAACCAGTTAAGCGCTTGGCCCCTCAAAGCGCTGGTAGCTAAGGTAACTTTTTGAAACTCGTGCACGGGGTAGAGCATGAAGTGGTCATCCAATTTTTCCAAAAAACTGGTTACCGGTGAGTTTCCATTAAACGTTGCTTCTGGTTTCATCGAAGCGCGCATGGTCTGGACAATAACCCAAATCCTTCCAGGGCGGCAGCTGGCATTTCTGGATTCTGAGCCGTTTCTTCTGCAGGCAGCACAGGTTCTTCTTGAAACTCGGCCATGGTTATTCTTCGTCGGGCGCCACTATCAGGTTCAATGTTTCTTCTCTTAACCTTCTTCGGAAACATACAATGGACCTGACTAGAACAGAGAGCTTACTAAAGCTATGTTCACTAATTGTAGTAAGTAGACAGGATACAGACGAAGGGTATACAAAACCCTTTATTTTTTTTCTTTATATACAATGACTTCCGTACTTCGGAATACAATGACCCTCCACTCGGGGTCTAACTTAAAAGATATCAAAATAAAACTAAACTCTAATTTAACTTTAGAATAAGATTGGCCTTATAATAACAGGAAGCGTATGTAGCACAGAGACTGTGAACACTACAATACGTTTAATTTTATCAAGAGGATTAAAACCTCTGGCCTGAAAGGCAAAGTAGCAACTGCGTAACTTCTAAGGTAAGCGGCCTGCTTCGAACTCACGGCTTCCTCTCTTCTGCTTGGCAAAAAGGCCACACTTAAATACTTGGCGTTCGCCAGACAACTTTGCATAAACTCCTTCACGCTTATAATTCTGGCCGGAAGTAGAAAATAAGAAGTGATAGTAAAGATTTAAAATAAAATAAACGTTAGTAAAACTTAAGATCCTTACAAGGTTACTGCTGTGTGCAAAAGTCTGGTATCCTCTGGCCCTATTCTAAATTATAATTGCTATATAATTTGCGGAAAATTTATATGTTTTGCGGGAAAAAGATATTTAGAAATATAAAATAATACAGTGTCGTTAATATGTAATTTATTAAATTTTAAACGTTAAGGAGTAACTTTTCAGGAAGTAAATAAACCATGCAAACTTGGTTTAGATTCAGTTCGAGTTTTGATTTTATTGAAACTAATTTGAATCCAAATGAATCAAACTGAGTTATCAAAAAGCAGAAAGCTAGAGACTTGCTGAAAGACGGTCATAGCTATCCTAAGGCAAGAAACAACACAGAAGGAAGTATCTCATGGAAGTGTACTCTGCCTTCCTGTAAAGTCCGTTTAAGAACTATGGGTAAAGCCTTTCTGGCTGTGATATGACATTGTCATTCCTTTTGTCTACAATCCCATTGACTATTTTCGGAAAGGAAAAAAAAAAAAAAAAAAAAGATATGGCGTAAATTCACGTGAGTTACTGGGATGCAAGCGTGGGTAATTTAAATGCAAGCAAGGCTAAATAAGTACAAATGAATTTACATCTGAAAGCATTGGTGGAGAATTATGAAAACATAGAATATATAGACTTTATTTGTGGTATTTCTTATACTTTTGAAATATGAGTGTCAATAAACTGTTGTTTTTACGGGTCTCACATGCCTTGTTTTTATTTTAAAAATACGATGTATACACCGCATAACTTCCTTGTACGGAATATTAAATTACACGCATTTTTTCCTGCATTCATTTAAACTTTCATTAGAGAAAACGAATTCTATTTCTTTAAACGAATTTCATTAGAGATATATTTCTGATTCAATTAATTCAGTTCTCAATTCATGGCAAGACAAAATACATAAAAAATCAAAATATCTTCATTAAAAAATGAAAGATTTAGAAAAACATAAAACACCAACTACAGTTAAAACAATTAAAAAATAATTTTTACAATTAAAATTAGAATTTCTATTCAAAAACAAGCAATTCAGCCATCAGGTAAGAAGGCAGATTTTTCGGCGCAGAAAACTGAAAGTTTACTTTTGATCCCACTCAGGCAAAAAGACACTAAATGCGCAGAAACTGACTTAATTCACAATTCTGCTAAGTTTCAAATGTAAACAAATGGCTGCTCCGTTTGGTTTAGTCGCACTTAAACAACTTATAAATTTATTGATAATTCCACAAATATTGCATGCAGATTAACTAAAGGCATAAAAACCTTAACCGGAAGATAAAAGCACCATAATTAAATCATTTTTAAAGCAAAAAAAGCATGATCTACCAACATATAAAAATAAAAAAGAACTGAGCTCACTGTTTATGTATGTATATGTCATATTTTGGCAGTCGGGTACATACATAAAGCTTGGCATGAAATGATGACACAAAAGATGTTAGCTGTTTTGGTTCCACATGTTTATTAAGTTCAAATGGTAAATCATTATTATTTTAGATTCCTCAAGATTACATACTCGATAGTAATTTAGACTAAAAATGCGATTAACTTTAAGTTTACTGCATCATACTATTCAAATAAAGAAGACTGACGGGAAGAGCAGCAGCCAAAGGGTTTTACTGCGGCAGGCGGAGAAAATCAGTCTGACGGAAAATGACGCGAACTCTTCATTTATAGCAGCGGTTACGTAACATGCCAGAATGTTCTCGAAAGTACTGGTCTAGGGGGAAGATCCTGAAATTGCGGAAAGTTAATTAGAGGTTGCCTCTTTGCGTAGAGCAAAGCCACCGTATTTTTTATATTTTACATACATGTATATACATATATAAACTTAAAGCATCTAAAGTTAAAACTAAATTGGAGTCAAAGCAAGGCAATATGTGAACAATATTGATAATTGAAACTGTGTATAACAGGTTTAATACAATATCTAAACAAATCAAAAATAAAATAAGAATTCAAAGTAGTATAAACTCGAAAAGTAAAAATGCAAACGGGAAAAAATATACAACATAATAAAAATATAAAATTAGTATCCTTTTGGTCATTTTACATAATATAAAGTGTTTTTGTTTAAGTAGTCAGTTTGCAAAATGTTATGTTTGGTTTTTTCTTCCAAATGTTTCGAAGGCTCGTAATGAACCGTCATTTCGCCAATCATAAAAATGGTGAATTAAAGGATACTTAATATTGTCAATTTACAATAGATAGCATTCTTATAGCTTTTTTTTTTTTTTTTTTTTTTTTTTCAGTGTTCCCTCTTTGTTTCTTAGCTAATAGTTTGTACTAAATTATATAGTATTGCATTTAAAATTATTTTAGTGTAATACTTATTAATGGTGTACACAAGAAATAAAGCATGATTGTAAATCTGCGTAAGTGTTTAGAAAACATTAACTCTATTAAACATTTTCATTGAAATCTGAGATAATCCACCACTAAATCGGGAATAAATTGATAATATTTTTATGCGTTTCTGTCCTGATCATTGAAAATAACCAGATCGAAGACATTGTTAAATAAATAAATGACTCACATACAGCTGTATGTGAAGACATTGTTAAATAAATAAATGACTCACATATTGCTATTACAACGTACTGGTTATCCATTGTAATAGAAGAAACGACGACTACGGTAAATTCAGATTTACGGTTAACAAGATGAGCGTAATAATCCTATTAACATAAAGGTACTATTAACAAATTACCTGCATATTTAAGCAGTTTGATTTGAAGAACTTCATTTGGTATATAAATTAAATCAGTATTAAAAATAAAAAGCAAAAATGTTGTTATTTTCATTATTCTTTTATATAGAAATCATTATGCAAAAGAGGATGTGCATTTTATTTATGCTGACCATTGAGCAGTTTGCTTTTAATGGATGATAGAAAAATGTTTATGTATTCTGGATTATGTACAACTGGATAACGTACTGTTGCGAAATGCCAGATTCTTGTTTGAAGCCACTGTTTATTAATCCAAACACCATTCTTTTCCATTTTATATATTCCGTAGACAGTTTTGTTTTAATCTGATCATTTGTGGTAATAATTTCCCCCCCCCCCATTTCACAACTAACAAACTTTATTTATTTAATTTTGTTTACACAAAGCCATATTAATAAAATAGGATACTAAATAGTAAAAGTTTTCCTTACTCCAAATATAAAAACAAATCGCACTCCTAAAGCGAATTGCGGGTTCTTTTTAAGTACATATTTTAAACGACAGCAATTATAATTACTCTTGGAAATGATTAAATGACAGAGACCACCTACTTGAAATGTAACAACTAATTTGAGATAAAATTATCAACCTGAGTGTAGCAACTAATTTGGAACGGAGGAAGTATAATATATATATGAGCATCAGATGTTCTAAATATTGATTACAGATTAATACACAATAACACGAAGTCAAAAGGCTGTGAATTACTTCACATTTCAAAAGGCTATCGAGATTGAAGTCAACATTTAATTTTGGTTTATCAATAAAAAAATTATTCTGTGTCATTCAAATAAATTGATTTATCATATATTTTTTGACATAAATTTGACTTGCGAAGAAAAGGAAGAAGAGTCAATATTAGTCTTTTTTTTTAATAGTTCATCTATGGAAAATATTCATACCGAAGATTAAAAATTATCGAAGTTCTGTAACTAGCAATTCTGTGTTGATAATCGTTAAAAATAAATGGATTAATATATTTACATAAAAATATTAATTTATGTATGATAATAACCTGAATTGTGTTGATAATAACCTGAAAAGCCATAAATTTTAACTAATGTGAATTATTTTAGTTGCACATTTACGTTAAGAGTATTTAAAATTTATAATACACTTATTTGCTGAAACTGTTTACCTGTAACGTCTCGAAGAAGCGTCTCCGACTTAGTCAGCTGAATATCTTGTCTTTAAAACAATCCCTTTGACGAAATATTGCGTAAAAACTTCTGTGTATTTTCATTCATCCGCTGCAAAAGCTTTCTTTTCTATATAAAAGGGACAAGTGTGTGCTTTATTATGTCATGTGGTATGCGCGTGACTTCCAGGTCTTCAGATAGTTTTTTTTTTTTTTTTTTTCAACTAACAAAAAAAGTAATAAGCTACGGATCTTTCATGTTAATGCATTTCTTCATCCCCACTGACAGACTCGAAAGAGAGAAGATTCTGCAAATTAAAAACTATCTTATCGGACGAAACTGGGTGGGGGTACAAAGTTTGAGATGATTCAGCTGTTTATATGTTCGTACAGCATGTTTACATGCTTAAAACAGATGTATTTTGCTATATTCTTTGTATAAAAAATAATAATAAAGGAAACTGAAATTTTATCCATGAAGTTTTCGTCAAACGCACGAAAGCTGAGTCTTTGAATATCTCATTAAAAGTGTAAAGACTTCTGGTTTGAAAACTCATTTGATTATAACGTGATTAACTTATAATCTGAGAAAAATATAAAATTACAGTCAATTATGGATTTACTGGAGCAATACTGGTAACAATTTCAGTGGTTAACTCCATGGTACAAAATTACAGTTGATTCGAAGACAGTTTAAAACACTTAAAAGAGAAAGGTTGTAATTAACGGGAAAAGTACTGCCGACAGTCTGCTTATACTATTAAGTACTTCAATCAAGAAATTATATTCATTTGGTTATGTAAATTGACTATAAGTTGATTACAAATACACTATAAACAACGGAAGAATAGGTACCATTAGAAATGAAACACCGAGAACTTGCAGAACAATATTTACCAGTCGACTGTTTCATTTTACCCTGAGACAAAGCCTGTTTAATCCCACTTCCAGTAATTTGGAAGTTGACTGCAATATATAATTTTAGGTTTCCTCAATGTTATACTTCGATGGGCCTGTTGGAAATTCCAAATGTATGCTAAATGACCTATAACTTTTAAATATAGATTACCAATCTAGGTTCTTGCGAGAGTTTCTTTTTTTAGGATAAAAAATATCACAGTAAGAGAGAAAAATTTCTGTTCTCATTTGTAGAAAATCTCATTTAAGCTGATTGTTCAGCAAAACGTGGTTTTTCTTATGAATTTTTAAGATTTTTAAGAAAGAAAGCATTTAATTTCAGAAGAAATATGTTCAAGTAATTTCAGAAGAAGTAATAACAAACAAACGAAACTCGGGAGTGGGGGATTATTAGAAAAGTTCTTTTTTTAGTTTTAACTAAAAATGCGACATTCGAGTACATGAATCTCGGGAATTTAAAAAGATTGCGAGATCCTAAATCTCGAATTTCTTTCCAGCAGTCGAACCTTTTGATTTATAAATATTTATCACAAAATTCGGAAAAGATTAGCTTTACTGACTTCCAAAGCTTTGATATCTTAGAAAAAATTGGAAAGATATCTTCGTAATCGGAAAGTTATTTCGCAACTTCTATGGGACTTTGTCATAAGCATCACTTTGCGCTTAGCTTGAGCGTCTTTACTGGTTCACTGCGCCATCTGGCGGAACGTACCTGAACTTTCGATTAATATTCGATGCACTGTCCGCAAAATTTGCTAAACCTATTCTCAAATCGTTTGGTTAGTTCTGGATGTAAATAATCTCCTGGATATTTTTTTCAACTCGTGAGCTTAGGAATTTTTAATTACGTACTAAATTTGTTAAATTCCACGTGTATCTTCTTAATAGGTATATTTTTAAAACTACATTCTCAGCTACGTTTTTCGTTAGACGGAAATTCCAAACTTGGTTTTAATGGGAAACTTTTAATATTAAATAAAAATACTTTTCTTTTATTTCTGCATTATTGTAAACAGAGCCCGATTAACCGGGAGCGGATTCAAAAGGACATGTCTAGTAAAAATGTTAAGTTTGTTTATTGAGGAACAATAAAAATTACTGTCGTAAATCGTAAGTGAAAAATGAAACTGTCCACGAAATGCGCAAAACAGATAAAAAAAATATCCGTAGTATAACGGCAATGACAGCCGATGATGTCTTTTAAATGAACCCTATCAGAAAACAAAAAGTTGAAACAGACATTTTAACATGAGTTGAACTCAAAGATATGGTTCAAGTTCCCTTCAAAATTTTATTCCTTATTGCCTTGCCTTTTATAACTTAGCTTTTTTTTTTTTTCATTTCTGATAATATTTATTCTTATGTAACATACATGTTCTTTTTGCTTTGCATACTGATTTAATTTAAGCGTTCAAATAAACGTTATCTCCATAATAACCTGCTTGAATTGCTGGACTGTTGTTACAATTTTTCTGCTAATTACAATATGAAACATTCCTCCTTTCTGCATTTTTTTAACTTGAATAATATTAACGTGATTCTCTTTTAAATAAGATATTTATACGGTTATTACCCCGGTTAATCGGGAGGTGACGATATTTATTATTCTAACACGAAGAATCTGAAAGTTATCTTGGAAGTTTTTCCATCTCTATTTTTAAACTGAGACCCAAACCTAACTCATCAATTACTCAATTCGTGTTTCGTCATCCATACAGGCATGGGTATAGTAATATTCAAAACCAAAAGTAAATTAAATGTGGTGAATTACTAAAAAATTTAAACAAAAGGAATTTTGAGAAATTTAGAAAGCAAATTAACTAAGAATCAAAATAATAATTAAATGTAAATTGCCAATGTAAAAAGAGTAGAAAACCAAAGTAATTTAGAAACCTTTGCCTACTTGAAAACTTCCCCGACACTAATTATGCATGTAGACTTTTTAAAAAAATTCCTTATTTGCTAACGGAACTTCACTTTTTATATCAGTTATTGACTTTTTATATCAGTTATTGAAATATACTTCTGTCATTGCAAATGTGTGTGGTTGCTCCCGAATCAAAGTACCAATTATGTGTTCCTAATTCTCGCGTTGTATTCACAATCATGAGAGAACAACTTGGTTTAGGGGATTCTTAATTGGGATTTTTGTTTGCATTCTGATGCTTTGTGGCTTTTTCTGTTACAATTATAGCACTTGAAAGTTTTCGCCTTCTTAGACGTTTTCGCGTTGCCGTGATATTTAGTAACTAGCGCATCCTTCAGTTGGCTGTTTTCTTGTGCTTTAAATTGGTGACTTTTAGCTTCTTCTGGTAACTAACCTTTTAGAGTGTTTAAGTCTGGCATTTTATCACGAGATTCTATCGCTATTCTAAAACTTTCAAAGTCTTCTGTTAGGCTACAAAATAGCAAACTTGATAAGAATTCTTCAGGAATCTCAGCTCCTATTTCTGCTAGTTTGTCTACAACTTCGAAGAAAGAACTTTAAATACTCCCGCGTTTTTTCGTTCGCGTTCATCTTTTTCAAGATGAGTTGCTTCATGAGGCTAACTTTAGGAAGAGAGCCATGGATTCCGTGTAATTTGATCCATGCTTCGTACGACGTTTGACATTTTTTAATGTGTATATCTCAGATGATTTCACGCTCAGAGCAGTAATTGCTAAAGCTTTTTGATCTTTTGAAACCCACTCGTCAACTTCGGCTTCGTTATTCGCGGACATTTCTGGCTTGACTAACTGTCTACTCGCGACATCCCAAATTTCTGACTGGATTAAAACCATTTTCACTTGAAAACGCCATATTTCAAAATTTCTATTATCCAACTTTTCAGTTTGGATATTCGGGTTCATCATTTTCGTTAGATACATACTGTTTCAGGAAAACCAAGGAAAGAGTAATTTTTGCTTACCTCGTTTTCCACCAAATGACCATAGATGTTCAAATTACTGCTTAGACATAGTTAGAACTCGATATTCAGTTCATTCAACTGCGAATGAACTGAATATCGAGGTATAAGACGCAACCCGTTTTTCAGATCTATTTTCAAACAAAAAAAGTGCGTCTTATACGCCGGCAAATACGGTAATTTCTTTTACGAGGTAATACATCTAAAAATTTTACAAATGCATATGTGTTTAGACATGTTTTTCCGTTGAACTTCTTGCGAATCTTGGTTGGTTTGTTAGAGAGAGAGAGAGAGATCTTAACACTTAGGTACCTGGTTACTTTGATTACCTGGGCCCATAACCTGTTGTTTTTTGAAATTTTTGCTCTTTTAAGGCTTTGAGAGTTATACGCAGTAGTACGTGTAAAACCGAGATTCTCTTTCTGAAGGAGTACAATTGCTGTAAGTTGAAAACGTAAGATTTAATAGTGACTTTCCTTAAGTTTAACAAAATAGATGAACATGTCATGTCAGACTAAATAGACGTTGGTTAAATCATACGATGGATAACATACGAATGTACCTGACCGGTACAACATGAGTCTGCTTAAACAGGTACTTGGCGGTATAGTAAAATTATCCGGAATACTTGGGCTAGATTCCTATTACAATGTAGTCTTCCACTCCGATATTCCATGTTAGGACTCTATGCATCACATTGCCTGCACCACGCTCGAGAGATTCACGGCTACTGGCCACGTCTACAAACGCATCGGATGGACATATCAGGAAGGACACAGTCTTCACCACAATCAGAAGAATACACAATCGACATCATACACATTTTCTCTCTGCAGGGAGGATTCTACTACTGCTTATATAGCTCACTTTTTCTGTTCAGAGCAGTCGCAAACAGGAGGAATTCAAATTCCAACACTTTTATATTACTATTGCTTATAATTACCGTATTTGCCGGCGCATAAGACGCACCGGCCTATAAGACGCACCCCCTTTTTTATACATATTTTTGAAGGATAAAACTTGATCAATATAATGAATCTGATATAATTTCTGATCAATATAATGAATTTACAGTATTTTAAGTATAAAGAAATACAAATACAAAGTAATACTTTCTGCAAGTACCCAATCTGTCTGAGAAAGAACACCTTTCAATCTTCTTCGTCATATCCCAGACACTCATCTCCAGAGCAAAATGAAGAGTCACTTGAAACTTCTGCTAAATCAGCGTATTAGGACTCATAACAAATTGTCGTCTATACCATCCAGTGCAATACTACCTCTTCCTGACTTCGCCAAGTTTTTATCATTTTCTCAGTTGGGGATGGCCCGAAATGTCTCTTTGCAGCCCTGTTTCCATGTTCTTTAGCATACACGTTCACACGTAACTTGTATGCTATGTTATAGTAATGTCGGTGTTGTTTT